GATCCAACCCTCAACCATTAATAATAAAATTAGTTATTAATTATAATCTCCTTTTAAGGAGTCACTTAACTGTAGTCTGTCTGGATTTGTCCCAACAGACTACTAGTTCTATTTCATTTCTTTCTTTTCTTTTCTTTATTTCACTTGTAGATACTACATATATGAAATAAAGAGTAAGAGTTATTGAAATCCTACCCACCAATTGCCCAATTAGTGAGCCTAGAGTCCTCTTACTGAGCACCTACCCTCACAGAAGCCGATTGAAGAATACAAAAGAAGCAGATTTAAGCCAATTGAAGAATACTAAAGAAGAAGATTGAAGTTGATTGATGAATACTCAAGGAGATTGAAGCCGATTGAGGAATACTAAAGAAGATTGAAGGTATCAAAGAAGATTACAGAAGATTGAAGCCAATTGACAAATACTAAAGAAGATGGAAGCCGATTGAAGAAGATTGAAGAATACTTAAGAAGATTGAAGCTGATAAAAGAAGATTACAGAAGATTGAAGCCGATCCAAGAAGATTGAAGAAGGGTGAAGCCAATCAAAGAAGGGTGAAGAAGATGGAAGCCGATTGAAGAAGATAAAGAAGATTGAAGCTGATAAAAGAAGATTACAGAAGATCAAAGCCGATCCAAGAAGATTGAAGAAGGGTGAAGACGATCAAAGAAGGATGAGGAAGAGAGAAGACAGTCAAAGAAGTTCAGTGTAGTGTAGGTTTTGTTGAACAAGGTGGATGGGTGGAGACTATGACAAAAGATGGATGAATGTGGATGAATGACTGGCCAATATAAGATGATCGGTGATGGTGTGTGTGTATGGGTTGTGTGATTGGTTGAGAGGTAGAGAGGTAGAGAGGTGGTTTGTACAATTTTCATCATCTAATGTGAAGTTTTCATCTTTGGCGTCTTTGTTTATGGTTTGTTAATTGTCGTTTTTTGATTATCGACATTTGTTTGTTGATTTTCGACTTTTGTTTTTTTGATTTTTGAATTTTGATTTCCTCTTTTGTGGCTTTCCTGGTACTTTTTGTGTCAATGCGACAATGGGGTGACAAATGTTGAGTTTCAAGTTGTAAATCTACTGAAATTTGGGCCGTAACCTGGTCTGAGAGGGGTTTCTGCCATGACTTTTACTCCAGTACAGGCGTTTTTGCCCTGTATTTGAGTATTTTCTGTAGTTTTGTCTTTGATTTTTGAATTTCACACTTCGTTTTTTGATTTTTGCATTGTCACCTTGACACCTCTTGCATTCCGTAATCCTCCATCATTTCTTCAAAGATCATAGAATCACTCTTTGGAAATCAGATGTCGACGCCGCTTTTAGAAATTTACCTGTATCTTGCCAATGGCAACTTTGTCAAATTGTGAAAGTCGGTAAAGCATTTCATGCGGATAGGAATGTCAATTTTGGCTGTTCAAGCTCCCCCAAACTTTGGTGTGCTTTTTTCTCCCTAGTGCTTTGGATCACATATTATGAATTTAATATCACTGATCTCAATGCCTACATGGATGATTCTTGGGGCATTAGCCTCGCCTCCGATTTGGTCTCTTTCAAAGGTCAAAAGATTCCCTTAAACCAAGCCAAATTTTTACAAATATTCGATTTTATCAATCTACCCTGGGCTTGGGAAAAACAGATTTCCGGCAGTACCCTTGACATCATTGGTTACTCTGTCAACTGTGAAGACCTTTCCATTTCTCTTCCTGAAGCGAAATGCCTTTCCCTCATAGTTGCTCTCAGATTTTTCACCTCGAAACTTTCTCACCCCTTATTCGACTGGCAGCAAATCACCAGTTGGGCAAATTGGGGCCTGAACATCTTCCCTCTCGGAAGATGGTCCCTTCAATCTTCATGGGATAAAATAGCAGGTAAATCTTTACGCCATGCACATATTCCCCTCAAAAGACTGAATGTGGAAGATCTAAATTGGCTACCGGATGCCCTTGAATCATAGGCAGGTCGTCAAATGCTCAAATCTCTACATTGGAACATTAACAAAGCAGATGTCATGTTCTTCTGCAACGCATGCCCTACTGGTTTTGGGTTTTGGCAACCTTCCAACGGACATGCCTGGAGCTACACTCTTCCGCCGCCTTTCCGTTGTAGCTATTGGGCAGAACTTCTGGCCGTTGTGTCAGCTGTCCAAAAAGCAACAGAATTAAAAGTTTCTAAGGTAGTCATCTTCACTGATTCAGAATCAGTAGCATACCTCTTCTGTTCTCACCGTCCTACCCCATCGGGTAGGTTGCTCTTTAAATTTGTGTATCTCTCATGCTTAACAAAAACATAGATGTTAAAGTAGGACACGTTCCTAGAGAAAATAACCGAGTAGCAGACGCCCTGTTGAAAAATAAGACTGACCTAGCTTGCGCGATGGTCCCAAATATTCAAATCAACAACCTTTTTCCTGACGCGTCTATTGTAGCTGGAGGTTATCAAAATAGGTCCCTCATCCTTTCGTCGGACCGTCAATAGCGGCCAGTTCTTTCGGCTTTTCCTCAAACTTCTCAGAATTTTTTTATCATGGTCATTTCAAAAAACCCAAAACTTTCCGCTCCCACTCCACTAAAAACCCTAAACTTTCAACAACGAGAAAAGTTAAATCAAAAAGATATCTTAAATCATTTAGAACCAGCTACCATCAGAAAATACAAATCAGGGTTTAACCGATTCAAGAAATTCTGTGAAGACCATCTCATCCGCCTCTGGCCAGACAAAACAAATTTAGCTCATTTTGTCTCAGTCATATCTAGAGAGGTTCAACCAGAAACAGTAAACAAGTACCTTACAGGAATAGTTTACTGCCTCAAGGAGAAATTCCCTTTCTTAGTAGAAGCTCGTCTATCGACAAAGGTCAAAGCATCAGTTCAAGGCTGTCTTAAGACAAGGTCAATACCAACGGTACAAGCTAACGCCTTCACCATTAGGGACATCAAAACTTCAGCATACTTCTTCAATTCTTCATTCGACAACGCCTTATTCAACACAATTATTGCTTTAGGATTCTCAGGCCTTCACCGTCTCGGAGAACTTACTATTCCAGACACAATCAATCTCAAAAAAAATCAAAAATCAATACGTTGCTCATCTCTCATCTTCTTGATCTGTGGTACTGTAGCTTGTTACAGTCAAACCCGCGCAATCACATAATTTGGGTGGAAGACTTTTCCTATGCATTTTGATGGGTTATGCAATCCCGTTGTCAAATTTGGCAGTGAAAAGCATCAAGATTGGGGAATTTTTCTATGCATTATCACGGGTTATGCAGCTGCGCGGGTATGCAATTGCGCGGGTTTGACTGTATAACCTCCCGTACCACAAGGGTGACCCAAAGTTCAAGGGTACCCCTGTTTCTACTGTCAATCATCCGGGCAATAAAACCTGTCCAATCCGTACAATCCTTCATTACACTCACTATCGAGACAAGAAGTTCCCAATTTTTCCTTTCTGGTTAGTCAGATCAAACGGCAAGCAACTGACTCATTCTTGGTTCATGGAAAGAATGAAACAAATCTTTGGCAACGAAAGAACAGGTCATTCTCTTTGAGCAGGAGGAGCAACGGCCTTTGCACAAAGTGGTATGGAAATGGGCACCATTCAAACGATTGGTAGATGGTTATCCAAAGCGTTTCAAACATACATCCGTACACACCCAATCCTCAATTTGAACAAAACACAACGTTATAATCATGCATCAGGCTTTACCATAGGAGAACATGTAGAATTCCCTGGAGCGGTTCTCGTGAGTCAACGGTTTAAAATTGAATATCATACAATTCACAAAGGTTCCTTTGGAACTCTTTGACACAAAGCCATGCAGCATAAGCTGACATCTTGCTTCTTCATTCTTTCCTACAGCCTTGGGCCAGTAAAATGCAATGATTCCCATTTGATTCCACAATCATGGGGCGCGTTGAGTAAGTCTTAACTTCTTAAGATTCTACTTCTTGACAATGACACTCACAAGAGTTTCTTCACACAGAATCTTGTTCATAGAACCTCTTCCCTGTAGAGTTCTACAACTGTTTTATCGCTCAGAATCTTTTGTGATCAGCACAATTGTCCCAATAAAACAGTTGAGCTTTCATGTCCTTGACTGACATCTAAAAAAGCCTCAGCAGCTAACATAGGCGTTTTGGCACGGATTCATACAGATATAGAGAAGTCCAACACCTTTCACTTTGCTGATACGAAGAATCAGCACATCACTACTCTATACCTACGAGGGCGGTTGAACTTCGGGGTTTTTCTCAAGTCCTCCGAGCTTTGTTCAGTCTGTGTTTTTGTCCTGTCCTAGCTTTATCATCTGGTAATAAAGCAAGCCTCTGTGGCCGTTGAGCGTAAAACCCAGATACCAGGTATCTAGAACCAAGAGATACATTCCCTCGGGATCCTCCAATAACCCTCACTGAGATCACTCGTGTTCTTGCAAGGTACGTTGCTCTTTCATCACACTTGTGATTCTCCAATAACCGTCGCTGAGACCACTCGTGTTCTCTCAAGCTTGACCTTCTATAGGATATGGTCTTGGAAACAACGTATCTTCTCCGTCCATTCAACAGTGTCAAAAAGAGATTTGACTTGTCGGTGGCAGAGGCAGGGATGATGAAGTTCCACGGCTCATTATTCTTTACAAAGAGGATTTTCCCTCTGATGAAAAATTTTATGATCAAGGATTGCAGATCGTTTTCATCAGGAAATATGGTCACTTCTACCTTTCTTACCTGCACCGTAGCTTCCCCAGTCTCAAAGTGCGCTTTGATAAATGATGCGCATAACTGAACGTCACGGGTTTGCATTCCTGCGTTGGACTCGCACGCGTTTCTTTCAGATTGCTTTGCTGTCGAATATGATCAATCCAACTCACCTTCACGATCCGTAGGACACATTTATCTCCACTTCAAAGATAATCCACACACAACGTCCTCCTCAAAATTCCATGACGAACGATAGACACAATCTTCGCCCCACACGCTCACATTCAGGCTCGTCAAACATGTGCTCAGATTCTGGAACAGTGATTGAGGAAAGCGATCTAGCGGACCACTTCAGCCTTCAGGAAAAGTCTCATGCACAAGTAACCTCGTCTGAGCCGTCTTCTGCTTCGATTCAAGACTCGGCTCTATGGTCCCCCAGTCCGCTCTATCCTGGATTAGTCACCTCGCCTTCTTTGAAGTTTCATTCGCACTTGCAACCATACCCAAGCGGTATAAGTGCCAGTCCTTCAACTGTAATGAATAGGCAGATGGTCGAGGAGGCCAACTTTCTTGCGTCATTCATTCCTCAGTCAAGTCATGGTACATCTTTCCGTGACCCCTTCGACTCGCCGCAATTGAAGGCTCAAGATAATCCGGAAGGTCAGAATTGGGAAGCGATTCTTCGAGACAGAGAGTCCATTCCGACTCCTCTCAAAGAAGTGCTTTCTACAAGGTATGATCCTTATGATCCACCGTACGGTGTAGCGCAATCTCCAGGCTCATCGCATGGAGATTTCCAAGATATGGAAGCCCGCCGCCTAGAAACCATCATTTTATCAACTGTATCAGATTCTCAGGCGCTGCAGCAAGGAAATGCCACCGATCATGGTGACCTAAAATGGGAAGATGCTATCCGAAAGAAGCATCGTGTCAACTTTTCCAAGTATCCAACGTCCCTAAAAGACTCCGAAAGTGAACGGGAGGCATCGAGTCCTACTTATCAGATGTCTAGGAATCAGCTCCATCCTCCCTTCTTCGGTCCTGCACCACGTCGAACTATGTTCGACCGCCGAGGGAACTTCAAGCTGGGGGACTCTAAGATACGCGACTTGCTACGAATTTTTCAAGGCCTGGGATCCATAATAGGGTTTTCCATCCTTACCATAACTAGCATTGTAAGTACTCATAATCAGCGCCTTGTCTGTAGAATGTAGCATATGAATACCTTCCGGTTAATAACCCACACGTTACGGCTTACTTAGGCCGTTCATCCAGACCCAGCGCCCCCACAACTCAAGTCACTACAGGTCTATCTCTATTTTCTCATCTCGATCCTATGTTTGTCATTGAGTGTATGGCGTCTATCCAAACGATTGTGCGGAACTCCGCGCGATTCTTCCGCGAGAGGGCGCGCCGATGAGGATGATGGCTGGTCCTGGGGTCGGCGGGAGCGCGCAAATTATAACCGACGTCGTAGGATAGAATCGGGACTGCGTGATTCCTACGGTTACAGAAGTACACCCCAAGCTATATCAGTCAATTTCATCGTCGATGGGCGCGTCTTCGCGGGTGCAAGCCCCAACATAACAGAGTCACCGAATACGTATGGCCAATCATTGTTATCGCTGGATCGTCGAATGGACAGACCGGGAATCGCCGATCAGTCCAAGTCAAGATGGGGGGATTGGCACGAAACACTCATGGTGGATAACCAATTCCATCTCAGCAATATGAGCCCACAAAAGCGGCACATGTTCGGTCTACAATGGTATGAAAAAGCTCGAAAGCTCAAACAGGATTCTTGCCTGGATGTTCTCTTTGCACTAATATGGTTTGGATGGGCTATCTGGACAATCGCATTTAAAGACAAGTGTATGATAGGTTCTTTTGAAGGGTGGTAAGTTGATCAAGCTCGAGATACGATAAATCATTGAGCTTCGCGTCATGTTTTCCAACGGCAGAATACCAAAAGCTGACATGCTATGTTATATGATTTGTTTGATAGGTGCCATGCGTACAACACGTCGATTGCCATAGCAGTCATTGTTGCCTTATCATTTTTGGCCAGTACATGGAATATGATTTGTCTGATAATCCGTAATAATCGTCTATTTAGATGACTCTTTTTCCAAACATTGGTTAGGGAGAAGCCATCAGTTTGCGACTGCGGATCAAGTGGAATGCAACCCCAAATTTGTTCTCCTGATAGCTGATGACACTTTCATAATCAAGCAATGGTGTGTTTCAAGGTACCCATTCTTAATCCTATCTTCATGATGATATCCATACCATCCCACCTGTATTCTCAGCGTACTCGTATGTTATTGTTCTGCGGATATTCTTGTCTGCGTATTGAAGCGCTAAACAACCCCCCGCTCAGAAGTGTGTTTGTTCCTCTGTTACCGACCTCCGACCCCCTACTCATTTTTCTCTATAAAAAAAATTGAGATATTGATCTGCTTACAATCCTAGTCTGCTCAAGGGTATCTATCTGCCTCTCAAACCGCCTTGAAAATCATGTACTACTAATTTGGCAGCGAGCTCCGGGGCGTACGTGGTGGAGACTGACGTGGTGACACCCCTGTCTTTCGGAGGCGTCGTGGCGGGCTGGAGTAAAACTTACCTCAGCGTCCAAGACTGGCTAGATTCCGGCCAAAATTATCAATGTGTTGGTTACTAAGACTTGACCATGTGAAGTGAGGAATTAAAAAACGCCTTGTGACATCAGCCCGGCCTTTGTAACGAAAGCTAGTGTTTGTGACAGCCACTCCTCACTCTGCTCCTAATGATCAGTTAAGCTTATGTATTGGGCCTATCCGGCCTTATTCGCGCCATGCAAAGATTTGAGCAAACAAAAGTCTGTACATGGCAAAACGCTCCTTGAACGAGGCAACTGACAGTGCTATAGTGCTTATCGCTGAAAATAGGAAATGTAGAACAGGGTTGTGCCCCAAAGATTAATTTTTGATAGGTGCCGCCAACCAAGGAACGACTTGGCAGCTAGGTCCATGACTGGGGCGGTGGTTGGAACGGCTATAAGCATATGCCTATAGCGAGACCATGGCGGCGAGCTTGGAAAAATGTTTTCCTTCGAGGAAAGGAAAACGTATCGCTATTGTGCGCTCCAAGCTCGAAGACCGCCAAGCCCAACACACCCAGTTTTCCTCATTCACATTTAGTATCAATTTCCTAAGTAATTTATCTGTTTATTCTTTGACATAAAATCATCCGACACAAGACGACAGATAACCAAAACGGTACACAAAAAGGCAAACGGAAGATCAGACTAGATTAGGAAAATGGCAACGTTTCTAGAGGAGTTGGCAGAGGAGGCGCTTCGTAACGGGGAATCAGGACCAAGACTGAGGAGCAGGTCCAGGAACCAAGACGGGAATCCAAATTAATTCACAATAGACGAAGAAGGTGGAGAAGAAGAAGAAAACGAGAACAACCCACAATCAGCCGACGATGACATAGAGTTCAAAACCAACCACAAAGTGACATCAGGTGTGACGGCAGCCCCAACAAATTCGGGAAACCTAGGCGATAGAGCGGCACCAGGGCTGATATGCCCTTTTGGCCCGGTGAGGATGGAGAAAGAGTCAACGGAAGGTAGTAGCGAGTTGAGCGAGGATGAAGAAGGTGGCGTAAAGGGAACTCACATAAGTGGTAAGTTTCCTGAAGACCTGAATGACAGTTTCCAACACTTCCCCACGCACACCATCCACCAAATCTCCCTTGTTATCCTTTCCAAAAATTTTCCCACACACGCACACGCCCCATATCCCACTCCACCACCATCTTTTCTCTTAAAAATTATACAAAAAATCATGCACAGAGGGTGCGGGTCTCGAAATGTACCCACCGGCATCGCTGAGGCCAACCGGAGCTATATCCAGGGTTTCTATTCACAACCTTGTCCACTCTACCACTAGTTGAACAAAACAACAGAGAAAGAGAGTTTTAAATACGTCTAACAATCCGGCGGAGACCAAGGCAAATGGAGCTAAATCCAAAAAGAAAAACATAAAAACTCACAAATAAAGTGATAGTTACCCGGAATGATCTACCAACCTCGCTTGCCTTTCCCCCCCCCCATTCCCCAAACCACAACGCACACCGAAATAGAGTGAAGCCATAGAGAAAGGAGGCTGACAATGGTGGGCACTCCCAGATGAATCGCTAGATAGCAGAAACAAGTGGTGGATGACCATCGTCGACACGTTCTATCGTAACGAGGTCATGCTGGGAAGAACGATGTTAGCAGCGTTCAAAGCCACGTACGGCCACATTCCCTTCGATCCGGAAGCGGACGCGAGTCGCGGCAGAAAGCCAAACCGGGAACCTACCTACCACGCTAGGAGGAGACCGAGGACGGAGTCACTGATCGCCGACGAAACGACGCATTCAGCCAGACCATACACCTCATAGGCAAACAAGAAGTCTCGTAACCTAGAACCGGCACCTAAGGAGACAACCGGACGAGATCAAGTCCAAAAAGTCAGAACAAGCCAGCGTAATCTAGACAAACCAAGTGCTGGAGGGGAAGGAGAGGAAGACGTCGACTCACCAGACCTAGAAACCAAAGATAAAGCTACGAACAAAGAAGACAAAGACTCGGCAAATCCAGAGGAAGAGATTACCTTTATTGATGACCAACAACTCCCAAACAACAGTCGTCTTAAGCTGTCACACTGCTTTCATCAACGAATGACAAAACTGAAGTCTTTTGTACCCCTGACGGTTTTCAACATGGACTGGATAGACCGTGACGCGGAAAAAGCTAGTCAGAAGAAAGTAAAGAGCGTAAAGGAGTTGCAAGAAGGCGACGACACCATGACTTACTCAGGTTTAACGCCGAAAGACGAGCTACTACTCTCATATGGAGACTGGCTTGATCACATGGATTTATTCATCCGCTACGTGGACGAGTACTACAACATAAAACAATGCGCCGAAAATTTCCGGAAGCATAAGCTGAACGTCATCGAAATCCGGAGATCAACGTCTTGCTGGATGGTGGCTTTACGTTACTGCATTAAGGTCAGGAAGCTGGTGATGCAGTACAGGCTGAAGGGAGGCAAACGGGTGATGAGCAATGCCGGAATCCTTCACGAGGACATCCTCAGAGCTGCAAAAGACAAGGCGGAAGTGATGGGCAAACGTAGCCACACGGACAACCCGTACTCCAGCGTATCCGAGACTTCAGAGCACACGGCGGCGAAAGAGCGGAGCCTGATAAAGCGAGAATTCGCTGCCGCCAATCAAGGCGGAGGAAACCCGAGCTGGAAAAGCCAAAACCACGAATACGTCCACGGTGGGAAAAGAGGTGGTAACAAGTTCAATAGAGGCAACAGCAACCGAGGTGATAGGAGGGGTAACCAAGACCGAAACAACTCACACGGTGGAAGTAGGTTTTACCCAAGAAACCAAATGAACCATGGTTTTCAATCATTTGGTCACCAGTACCAGGCACCGCCAAGCGTCAATTATTCCCCGTACAGAGGCTATCACTACCAACCGTACCCGTATGCAAGCGGAAGCAGCCAAGGTTTCCCCCAAACAGGCGCGCCACCAGGTCCAAGTGAACCTGGGAACCAACTCGCGATCGTCCCAAAACCGGGAACGAGCAACGGCAGCAGTCAAGGGGGAGCCCTGGCAATAATCCACAGGAACAACCAAAACAAACAATGGTAAGCTAAAATAATCCTTACTTGCCTTTCCCACCAGTTCCTTACTTGTTTCATATCCCCGCACACCATCAAATAAAGAAAAAAGAAGATCTGCAGCCTCGGAGGCTTTTGGTTTCAGCCGCTGGCAGAGGGGAGAAGGCAGTAATTGATGATGCCAAATCAAGAGGGCCAACTAGCATTAGTTTTTGTTATCCCCCATCTTACAAGTTACTCCACTCACCATATCAAGAGTGTAGAGAGGCAGCTGCATGAAATGAACATCTTTTGCAATTATACAGAGCACGATGTTGTGGAAACTGCCACATATCCGGCAAAGCCAAACAGACGCAAATGAGAGAAAATGAGCCAGGAAGAGAATCAGTGAAGAGAGAGAGAGCTTGACAAACATTGACGCAATCCTATGCAGAAGAAGATATTGACCCTTCACGTATTGACCTCCCACACAGCGTGATAACCAACGATCGTCCCGAGGAAGTTAGAGCGGGTAGAGAAAGTCTGACGTTTAACTACGATCTGGCCCGAGACAGAAAGAGGGAGAAGGGGAGCCCCGGAGTAGTCGCAAGTGGAAGTCCAAACGGTAAGCCAGGACAAAAAGCGTAATCGAGACCATGTTTCAGAACTGACTCTAGGAGGAACCAAATTAGATAAGGGAGGAGAAAAATTGACCCCAAAGCTAAAGCCGAACAAGGTTTGGCCGACCGAGATAGCATGCAAAATGGATCTGGTTGAATGGGAGAGGATGCTACGGAAACACAACATACTTGAAAAGCATCAGAAGATCTTGGTTGGTTTCCGAGAAGGCTTTGACCAGGGGATACCCGACCACAGCCTAGACAACCTGGAATACTACTCGCCACCTAACCACGAGAGGTCAATAGAAGGTAGCAGGATCATGGCAGAGAAATTACAGAAGGAGCTAGACTCAGGTAGGATGAGAGGACTCTTCACGATGGAGGAAGCGCTACACTACCTCAGTTTTTTTAGAACGAGCCCAATGGGTGTCGTCACTAACGGTGATGGCTCCAAAAGAGTGATAAATGACTTATCTTTTCCGAAATACGATGAAACAACACCATCCGTGAACTCGTTTGTCGACAAGATGAAGTTCAAGACTACCTGGGACGATTTCGCGAAAATTGCAACCTTCTTTGTAGAAACAGAGGGAGAGCTCAAACTGGGGATTTTCGATTGGGAAAAGGCATATCGCCAAATCCCAACCCACCCGAGCCAGTGGAGATTCCTGGCTATCCGCACCAATGACGGTTTCATCATCCTGGACACAAGGGTGTCCTTTGGAGGGGTGGCCGGATGCGGGAGTTTTGGGGGTCCGGCAGACGCCTGGAAAGAATTGATGAAACAGGAGTTTGAGTTTGCAGCAGTATTCCGCTGGGTCGATGACAACCTGTTCATCAAAGTGAAAGGAAGCGGCAACACAAAAACCATGGTGGACGTGGTGAAAGCGAGCGCGGCGTTAGGTGTCAAGACAAACGACGGGAAGTACTCCGAGTTTGCGATGGAACAAAGGTACATCGGTTTCATCTGGAACGGACGTGATAAGTCAGTAAGGTTGCCGGAGGAAAAGCTAGCAGAGAGGAGAGCTCAAGTTGACGAGGCACTGAACCAGATCAGGGCGTTCACTTACCAAGAAGTTGAAAAACTATCTGGGCGACTGCAGCATCTGACATACATGCTCCCGCAGATGAGGTGCTTCACCCCGAACATACACCACTGGATGGCTACCTGGGTGAACAAGAAGGCACCGCGTCAGATGCCAAGCAACGTGAAGGAAGATTTGTGGGACTGGAAGAGAATGCTAAAAAGTTTCACAAACCATAAACTCCTCCCGAAGAAGGATCACCTAGACCTAGGCTGGGTCGGCGACGCGGCAGTGACGCACGGGATAGGGGTTATCGTGGGTGAAAAATGGGCCCAGTGGAAGTTGAGAGAGGGCTGGAACTCGACAGACGAACTCAGAGTCAAACGTGACATAGCTTGGGCCGAAACGCTGGCGGTACGTTTGGGCCTTGAGATGGCGGCAAAGTCCGCCGACGTGAAAGGAAGGAGGCTAGTCTTCCTGACCGACAACACCACCACGGAGGGAGTGGTCCGAAACCTAAAGTCAAAACACGTAGCAGTTAACAAGGAGTGGAGAATCATACGACGGAGGCTAGTAGAACCCGATCGCGATCTGGAAGAGAAGAGAGTCGACTCACTAGGAAACACGGCCGATGCACTCTCCAGAGGGGTGAGAATCGGAAGAGAAGACCGCGATTGTCTACAGATAGAGATACCACCAGATTTAGTAACTTTCATCAAACACTCAACTGTCGAAAATGTCAAAGCAAGACAGAAAGAACGAGAGGCCTAACTTCAAGAAAGCAGTAGACCAAATCGAAGACGAGGAAACGAGGAGAATCGCTAGCCACATGGTAGGTGGTGCCTGGGCCGAGTCCACTCTACAGGGCTACAGCAGCGCAGTAGCAAAGTTCAAGGAATATATCCTTGATCAAAACAAAGACTGGGAAACCGCTATTCCAGTCAAGGCGGTGGATATCTACGGGTTTATAGTGTGGGCCGGCCAGTCGGACGCCAAAAGACACACCACAGCGAAACGATTAGTCAAATCCAAGACAATCGTGAAATATTTGGCAGGTTTACGTGCCTGGAAAATGGCAACGAAGCTCGTACCACCCCTCCTGGACCAGAGAGTCATCAACGCCTTATTATGAGCAACTGAGAGGGCAGAAGAACAAGTATGTTTGGCGAACACGGGAAAAGGTGACAAAGTGGCGAACAGCGATACAATTCCAATCATGGTAGGAGAGCTGATTGGGCTGGTATGTGATTTCGCTGGGAGATTGGATGTACAGGAGGCTATATCTTCAGCAGCGCTGGTGGCATTTTGGGGGATGATGCGCCTGGGAGAAATCACAAGGCAGTCTAGGAAAGAAGGAATGTTAACGTTTGGTGATTTAAACTTCAAAGGGACCGGAGGCAAGAAAGTCGCGATACTTACCCTATGGAGGGCGAAGACAGCAAATCCCGGTGACGTCCAAATAATCAGGATCCCCTCTCAACCTTCAGTCCTCAATCCAGTGGCAGCTTTAGAGCGGTTGATAAGTCAAAACCCAACATACAAACCAGACGAGCCTCTTTTCGGCTACGGTAGAGGTAAGGCAAGAGTGCCGCTATCCAGGAGGCTATTCGTCAGCACGCTCGAAGAGAGATGGGGTGATGCAGGAGTCCGAGTAGGAGGTTGGTCCGGGCACTCGTTCCGGGTGGGAGGTGCCTCACTACGCTGGAATCTTGGTTGGAAGAAGGAACGCATCATGGAGCAAGGGAGATGGAAGTCCAAAGCGGTCAAGACATACCTGAAGGAATACTCCAAAGACGAAGTTAAGATGACTAAAGATCTTTTATGGTCAATCGATAAACGAAACATAGCAAGTTCACGGTCTTCATAAGAGTCAGAAACGGGAGCGGTGAGTGATACATCCAGAAGTGACCGAAAAGTTATAGAAACTGACTAACGAGGACGTTTTGGGTTACAAACAGAAATTGGTTAGAGTACCGGAAGAAATAAGCGATCAGCCGGAAGGACAAGACGCCAAAAACCTGAGCGGCATGAAATTCACAAGCCACCAAAACCTTAAAAATAGAAGTAGATGTTAAACAGATTGTAGATCCCCAATACAGTTTAATTAGGAGCAGATCCCCAATACAGTTTGTTCAGGAATGACCTCTACCCCAAAAACATTGATGATCCATCCTGTTCGCCTTGCGACAAAAGTCACCCAGGGCGGTTTCAAAACTGAAATGTCCGAAAAACCTTCACCAGGGTGGTGAGGATAAGAGCGTAAGAGCAACAGAACAGTAGCTCCCAACGAGTCTGGGGTAACTCACCAAGCTGAGTCTCGCCGGAAGCCACAGCAGAAGGGTGATGGCGACTCAACCCAGACTCGTAGCTCACAACATCCCAGAAACGGTCAGCCGGGCCTTTTGCGTAGGCAGGAAAGTTTTCCGGCCCGCGCAAAGCCAGGCAGGCCGGCGGCCCGCCATCCCGTAACGTTCTACCCTGGATGAAAGCATACAGAGTAGAACGCGGGTGGTATATGTGAGGATACACATATAACACACAACTAATGTGCCATGAGAGGAAACTAGCCCACTCAAAATGGATAGGTGCCGCCAACCAAGGAACAACTTGGCGGCTAGGTCCATGACTGGGGCAGTGGTTGGAACGGCTATAAGCATATGCCTATAGCGAGACCATGGCGGCGAGCTTGGAAAAATGTTTTTCTTCGAGGAAAGGAAAACATATCGCTATCGTGCGCTCCAAGCTCGAAGACCGCCAAGCCCAACACACCCAGTTTTCCTCATTCACATTTAGTATCAATTTCCTAAGTAATTTATCTGTTTATTCTTTGACATACCACCCACCCACCCAGCGAAGTCAACGGTCAGCCGGGCCTTTTGCGTAGGCAGGAAAGTTTTCCGGCCCGCGCAAAGCCAGGCAGGCCGGCGGCCCGCCATCCCGTAACGTTCTACCCTGGATGAAAGCATACAGAGTAGAACGCGGGTGGTATATGTGAGGATACACATATAACACACAACTAATGTGCCATGAGAGGAAACTAGCCCACTCAAAATGGAAAAGCAATAAAAAAACTGTTGATTGTTCCAAAAAGCTATAGACACAAAGTCCTCAATCTCACAATCGCAAAACCACTTTTGGAATTTAAAAAAGGTGAGTTTTGGCAGAGGGGATAGGTTTTATAGATCTGATTTGATTTCCTTGTTTTCAGGGATACGCACCATACTGAAACTTCATGGGGCGTGTTCTGCTTGCACAGACCAGGTAGCATAGAACAACGATCGTTTTGAAACCTTGCATGTGATAAATAGTTTCACAGATCACCTTCTCCGATTTGAAAGAAGCCTGACTCCGGTCCGGAAAACAAGTTGCCCAATTGGTTGTCTCTATGCGGTACCGAAATCCTAAGCTTAACTCCGAAATCCCAACTTCCACGGTCATATCCTCAGAGTCGAAAATATGAAGATGGAGTAACCGTATTTATGTATTATCAAGTTCCAAGGCTACCGGATGTAACGTTTATATCGCAGATTGTGGCCTTGACGGGGAGGATGCAAGATTATCTCAGCGAAGTGATCTCAACCGGTTCGAGGACATTCGTCTTCTCAACATGCACTCTCCGTTGAAGTGTCTCCGGTTGACTATTTGTTGAAGTTTATGGCTATCGCTTTGGCTATCAGTGCATACTTCCACCTGACCCAATCCTAACTTGATGCCATCGATGACAGTTGTCAGGAGCCGGTCTACCCAGTCCACGAAACCGACAATCCCAATGGCTCACAACAATAAGATAGGTAGCAGTCGGCAGGCCGTAGAGGATAGAGTTGCCGTTACAATTATATTCATATTCAACCCATAATCGCCACCTCCCTTGCCTGAAGTTATGCCATTTTTCTTTGGTTGAATTTTTCTTTCCCGGAATCTCAAGAGTTACTCATTCTCCTTCAATAAACACTTCGTTTAATCATCCCGAGTCTGGCTGTATACAACCCTCGTAAGTGCGCTATATCGTATCTTTTGCTATGAAGCCTACTGATCTCCCATTGTTTTTTTTAGATCTCTGGTGCCCTGCCACTGCATAATCTTCCGGCCCAGAACATGCAAAAATACATTATCCTTTCCTTCTGGGCTTTTGTTAGCCTTCTCAGCTCCGTGTCTTCAAAAACCCTCCCAATTCAAAGGATTGGTCGATATCTTTATGACTCCCAAGGAGTCCGATTTTACATCAAGGGGGTCGCTTTTCAAAAACCTGGCGCTGTAAGATTTCGAGTGGTCCCCTGTGTCCTCAGGCGTACTCACTTTGATCGATTGATGCTGAATCATCACATTTGATAGCTCAATCCCAGCTCAGCCGAACACAGCGCTAATGGCGGCTTTCCTGAACCGTCCAATTTCATTGGTACGTGAGAAGATTTTATGCTATGGCAAGAGCCACAAGGGCTCATGTTCAAAAAAATTCAGACTCCCTCGCGGATAACACCGCCTGTCGCAGCGCAATCAAAAATTTCAAAGAGGTAATTCTATCTTGCTCGGCTCAATTTGAAAGACTGCGTCTGTTTTCTGAAATCACTTTACTGCACCGAACCACTCCTTGATTTACCGTAGTTAGCAATCAATACTATACGTGTTTACTCCATCGATCCAACGAAAAACCACACCGAATGCATGAATGCCCTCGACGAAGCTGGGATCTACGTAATAGCTGACACAAGCTTGCCACTAAATGGTTCCATCAACCGAGCTTCACCCTCCTGGGATGTTTCTCTGATGGAGAAGTACTTTCGACAAATTGACAATCTTAAATCATTTCCAAACCTCTTGGCATTCAACATCGGAAATGAGATTGTGACTAAGGAGGTCAGTGCCACACATTTCTCATAGTATATTATCATATCTTTCGACTTTCCGACAAACCGAGTCCTGCTTTTGGCCTTCCGAGCTTGATCGTACTCCCTTCAGCTCGCAAGGCTGACATTTGAAAACTCGCTCGAAGGAAAATATGAATGCAGCACCTTTCATAAAAGCCTCTGTGAGGGAAACCAAAGCTTACCTGAAAAGGGTAAATTCTAGCGCTCTAGTATCATATGCCTCGACAGATGGCGGTGCCTATACCATTGACCTGGCGTATTATTTGACTTGTGGTGAACCAGAAATTTCTTTGGATTTATATGGTGCGAAATCTGAAATCTCCATCTTAAGCTGTCAATGTGCTCACAATTGGCTTGATCATTGTTCCAAGGCATAAATGTCTATAGGTGGTGCGGTGACAGCAACTTTCAGAGCTCCGGTTATGCGGCGTTCAACGACAACTTCAAAGCCCTGCCCACTGCACTGTACATGTCCGAGTTTGGCTGCAATACCGCCCCAAAGAGACTTTGGACTGAAGTACTGGCTATATATTCGCCTTTAATGAGTGACGTATGGTCAGGAGGTAGTGCATTTAGCTATTTTCCTTCTTTGCAGGGCTTTGGTAAGTCATTCTTCAAAGCACATCAACTATATTTATATGTTTTGAGCGAATTTCTTGTTCACACAGGTTTGACTACAACATCCAACGGAAGTGATCCACAGACCAATGATGATTTCAAAAGACTCTCTCAGCAATACTCTAAAGCGAAAGGGCCAAATTCTCCTACAATAGCGACTGCCAAGAACATGAATACAACTTCAATATGCAAAAACACGCAAGGAAGAGTTCGTCTCGCAACTGATGCTAACTTACCCCCCACGCCCAACCTAGACGCATGTACATGTGTGGACAATACGGTATTTTCCTGTCAGGTTAAGCCGGACCGAAGTCCCGCTATAATAGGGGAGCTTTTAGACTTTGCCTGCGGTCAACTCGGTGGAGATGGGATATATAAGGTTGGAAAAGGCTGCGATGCGATTGCTTCCAAGCTAACTACGAGGGTCAAGGATCCGCCCGGAATTCTTTCAACATGCTCCCCTCAAACAAAGCTCAACTACGCCTTGTCGCAATACTATCGCAGTCAAGGTAGTTCGGCTCTTTCCTGTGATTTTTATGGAAACGCGACAATTGAAAATGAAAAGGATAAGCCTAAGTCAGGTACTGAGATTGAGCAGGCAATCGCCAGGTGTTTCCAAGCTCATTCTCCCACATTGAATCGGACTTTGACTCCACAACCTTCGTCCGCGACATCGGGCAAGAGCAGTACTGGAGCTAATCCAAGGATCATAGGTGGCAAGCAGATCTCTTCATCTCGGGAGGGGGCTAAAATTTCAAGCGCGAATCATGATGGTGAGTCCTTTTCCGATACAAAAAATGTGTATTGGTATGAATTGATAAACAAACTCTGCCCATGTCCCAGGTGCCACGAAGCAAATCTATATAATTTCTTTGGTGTTGGTGGTTCTTTCTGCTTATGGAATGCCCATAATATGAGCTGTTGCATTCCAACCCTGGCTTAAATTTGTGTTACCACTGGCACCACCACATAATTCAACTCCCATTAATATTATTACCTGCATCTTGAATACAGTGCCAGAATCTGTACACCCAAGAAGTGCTTCAGTATTCAAGCAGTGTGCTTGCCATATTTTGTTATGTTATGAAAAATTTATATCTAAAGTTTGTTTTCTTGTTTTCTGCCTCACAATCACAATCCAAAATTGATCTCAGATATCCTAGCTTTAATCATGATGTATGAAGTCAATCTTAGTTATGTCTTTGCTAGTGTGAATTCTATGACTTGTTCATTTTGAAAGAATAGTGGCTCATCTGTTGGAGTAAAGCACAAAACAATATCCTTATTAACACAAAGAAGAATAGTTGAAACCATGCTATTTCAAACCTGCAGTGGAGAAACCAGAATAATGGTTTAGTTCAAGGGAAACTTGTGAATGTGATGTAAAAGATTTGCAAACAAGATTTGCACTTCAGAACAGTTTCAGACCTGTGCACCACAATTTAACTTGATCAGGTTTTGGACTTGATAATTCCCCTGGGGCTATGAAAGCCTGCCAGATACAGCACACACACACAAGTCATCAAGCTTTTATACTTGAACTATATTTGAATATTATTGATAATCTTGGAGCAGACCTGCTGCATTTTGAGATCTGTTTTTGTTTTAAAACTGTCTTGTGTATTTTGGCTACAGGATAATGCGGGTTCAATCAAAACAGTCATAGAAAGCTCTGATTATAATGGAGGGAGAGAGATTGCAATTTAATCTCTTACTTGAAGCTGGACCATTCTGGTGGGGACTCATTCTTATCCAAAGAATGTGGTCATCTTTTCTGCAGACTTGATAAGGCAAGAAATGTAGTGATTTTCCACAGAATGCCCAACCTGTTGACCAACAACAGTTTTTCTTGGTATTGATTGGATGAAAGCCGGAAGATCAAGAGGCAGATTTACATCAAGCAATATATTGATAGAGTAAAAGGTGTAAAGGTTGCTCTGTAGAGTATCTTTAATTCCAAATCTCAAAAACAAACATGGTAGAAACATACTTACCATCAGTGGTTTGTTCATAGATACTTCAAGGTTCTTCAATCTGTCAGAGTTACAGGTCAAAGGAAAACAACTAGACTAAAATTTGAACCGGCAACCTCAGTATCAGCTGAGACACATGCTAGAGTGCTGACTTTATCTCACACTCACACCCAGCACTACTTTCAGGGCCTAGGGTGTGGTGAGGACCATGGCCTATACCCTGCATGGCCTGCCAGATTGGGGACTTGATTACATACAGCCTTACTATAGCGCCACAATGAAGCCCCACCTTCATCACTTGAGCATGTTGACAATCCAGAAAGATCAAGCAGCAGTGAGCATGATACAGACTCAGGAGACATCATTGACTCCTCTCCATCACCTCCACACACCATGGCAAATCCAAAATTTGAAGGATATCACTTTTTTCTTTCAAAGTAGGTGAGGTTTGATAAAAAACAAGCTCAACCAAATAAGACAATCAATTTGAGCAACAGTCTTGCTTAAATTATATTTAAAACAAGATCCAAGTTCATTTCAATTTCTAAGCTGGTTTCCAAACATTTTCAATGATCAAATTCAATGCAATATGGTGTTAAGCTAAAGTAAATTGAGTTACTCACCTGATTTTTGAAAATCATACAGGGAACAAGACCAAAATTATAATTGATTTGTATAGAAATTGGGTGCTAACATAGTAGTTTTGCTATTCCTAGGCTTACCCTTTTTGACTCCATCATGTTTGACTTGAGAATAATTAAGGGATTGAGAATTATGATTTTGAAAATTGATAGGAGAGCCAAGTGGTTAGGTGGATAACCAGAGGCCCGTGAAGGGTATCTGCACCTCGCCTAAGCCTCTCTGAAGGGGGGCTTAGTTATACTGGAAGTGCTGCAAAAGCCAAGGAGGGCACAGGGCAAGGGCCACAGTCTGGCCTGTGCCCTGGCCCTTTCCATGGCTAAAACTGTGATTTCACAAGTCTTTGTGGCATCAGGTGTGAGTGTGACCTTTACCAAACTGCGGGAAAAACAGTGGTGTCAGTCCAAATTGTGCCAACATGACGTGAGCCATGCGTTTACCTCAGCTTGAAGTTTACGCAAAGGTGTTGTCACACCCTGGCCTGATGTATTTCACCAATTGGGTGAAGCCAACCATTTGGTTAAGGTATGCCAACAACTACACTTGATTCAACCCATTTATTGCCAAAATTCCATCAACATCATCTGCTAGCCCTGAGTACTAAATTGAGACTACCTACCAATGCAGGAGTGTGAAATATTCCATGGCCAAAGGGGGAGCCTCCAAGGGGGATAAAAAAAGAATCTGTAACAAAGCATGAAAGACGGGGACAAAGTCCCACCTGACAATGGAAGAAACTTCATGAGCTCAAAAATTCTATATCAAGATTTTCAGACCATTGAATTCCCTCCTATCATCACCCCTATACTCTCTGAGTCTAACCACCACATCGTCTCTTATCTTTAGGTTTTATTTTTTGTAACTACCCGCCTGCCCAGCTGAGTAATCAAGCCAGGGCTTTTTGCAAGCATGTTTTGAGGAGCATGCAAAAAGCCCCGGGCCAGCACTTTGCCTCCCCAAACCACTCTTAGACTTGGCCAAGCAATTGGACAAGGACAAGACAGTTTTTGGTTACAAAGGAACTACATATGTGAATCTGAAATGCAGTTTATAAGACACATGTACCAAACTCCCCCAGAGTAGAATGGACCTTAGTACCAATTGGTGACATATAATAATAAGAAAAACTTTGAAAATAATAATTAAAACTCAGACTCAGTTTCACAAGTCAAATTATGTATGGATTATCATATTCAACATGTGTGAAACTTATATGAAAGACAGGAAACATACACAGCTTTCATATATCCTAAGAATACCTACATTACACAGCTGTAACATAAATGTAACAAAAGTAGAAATGTTTATAACTAATAATAAGCCACTGTAATGAAACCTAAGCTTGAAACCACAAATTTTGTGCATATGAAATTCAAACTTCAAACCATGAAAACTCTGAAAATGTGGACTTTGTGATCATCATCACATTACAAGTTACCACTTTTTCCTCCAGCTAGATGATAAGCTTCCAGTAAAGTGCACTTTACTATCTTATTTGTTAATTTGTTCTCTTCTTCTTGTGGTTCTCATTTCTCTCTAATATTGGTGCTGTTCTTGAACACAAAAATGTCATAGTTGTTGATTACCATTTGTGGAATCAGATTATTAGGAATCAGATTATTTAGGAGGTAGTCCTTGAGTGCTGCTTGATCTGATTGTGATTTGGTCAGATCAAGAAGCTTTAAACCTCTGTAGTACCTCTATCAGTCAGAGTGTGAAGTACTAAACACTTTAGTGTTCTCAATTAATTCATTTCTAGTTAGAAAGATAATTGACCAAGGGAAGTCATTGAAGAATCAGTGCTTATCTTCTACTGAAATACATGTAAAAACTTGAGCTCAAATCCCTTGAAAAGCCTTTCTTTAGAGGTCCTCTAACTGTAGTCTGTACTTGTATTTTTACAAGCAGTCTTTAACCCTTGTTTTCCATCTTTAAACATTATAGATTATGATCCCTACAAGTTTATCTCTTTAATTTAGTGACTTACAAGCTCAACAAAAGCTAGTAGCTCACATTATCACTGAGCCCACATCACTCAAACACTCTTCTCCTTGGTTTTTGTTTGTTATGATTTCAGTCTTAGTCTTGAATAACTGTTATTTTGTAATCCTCTTGCTCTGATGAATAATCTCAAGCCTGTGTAATCAAGTATAATCATGATCCTTTTGCTTTGAGTGGAGTGATCTTGATGGAGCAGAAATATCTGGTCAATCCCAATTGTCTAGAGGTGCCTATGTCTTAATCATTCTAGACATTTCTATGTCTTGATAATATCTTTGTAGTCTTCATCTTTTTGATCATAGACATCACCATATGGAAACCGGAGACTTTTCCATTGAAAACTTGGTTCACTGATGAAACAGTGTGAGATCATTGATTAAGACTTGATTAAGACTTGATTAAGAAAATAGAGAAATTTGGACTTCAAATAGCTGAATTCAAACTTCTCTGTGTGGATCTTGCTAAGCGGAATCACTTGAGGAAGTGAGTGAATTGTGGGAGACAAAGTAGAAACCCGGAATCAAATCCAGTTTTTACTTTGTATCCCATCAATGTCTTAGTTGTTCAATAGTAGAAATTGAAAATGTTGATTCACTCACTCAAGAGTCTAGCCAATGTTTTTGAAGAAGGCATTCATAGAACAAAAACTATGTTATTTGGAAAAGTAAGGGTTTTTTTAGACATTTAGCAGTACCAAATGACTATTCAACTTAGCTTTAGAGCAATAAAGATTGCAATCAAGCTTCAGTTTGAATTAACTAGATCAAATGTAAAACACCCCTAAGTAGATCAAATTCACTCAAAGAAATCAAAAATTGAGAGAAAACCTCGATAGTTTGTTTAAACTCTAAATGTCTTCTTGTTGCTTCCAGCCAACCACAAGCCAATACCTTGGGCCACTCATTCAAAGCATTCAACTCTTGTGTGGCTACGTCCAAATTGTTTTCTTCAACAACCTCTCTTCCCTTGTAAAGAGTGCCATCATGGCCTTGCCTTTGATGTGATACACACTTTCCTTGTTCATAATTCAGAATCAAAAGTGACTGAGAAATCATGAGGCAAAGTATGCTACAAATCCTGTGTGATTGGGGGGAAAAGCAACAGATTCTTTGAGCCATATTGTTAAGTTCTGCAGTGTCCCTACCCCTTTCTTGTTTGTCTGAGATGGTAGAGTAGAAAGAGCAGTAAGCATGACATCAGATGTAGGTTCAGTGTCTGGCAAAGAAGTTTTGTTAACTACCTTCAAAGCAAGTACTTCCTTGGTGAATGAGCATTTGACGCTGAACTCAAAAACTTGGGAACTCATCCTGATTCTATTCCAAAGCTTATG